GTTCTCATAGGGACCACTTGGCTCTTAATCAACTCCATTGTGAGTTTTATCCAATACTAGCTAATGCCTACCTAGTTCTCCAAGTGAATATCTGGTGGCTTATTATTTCAAACCTAATCAGTTATCTCACAATAAATGTAGATATTATTAGAAAGAAGGCAGCAAATACAGATCAGATTTGCCCTGATCTAACTTGGGGAAATGTTGTGTTATCTTTTTTGAAAAATGTATAATTAGGTTGTAATCAATGCCCTTTTTATTCATCAATGGTGTCAAAGTTGAGTTTCAGAACTCGAAAAAAAATGTTAGTGCTTTAATCATCTTGTCTTTGTGCTATATTACAAAAACAACAGCTGTAGATTTAAGGGAGTTTATCTACTAGGGTTGCTAAAGGTTTTATAACTGAAAACAAAAAGGCACCATCTAAAAACTATGTCAACACCAAATGTCCAAACCAGGAATTCAGTTACCATCTCTGCATTTAATGTAAAAACCCCATGTCATTCCTTCAATATTTACTCAGCAAACATTTCTTAAGCACCTACTATTAATATATGTCAACACACTGAAAACATTATATTGCATTTAAATTAAGAGCAGACCCATTCATTAACTCATTAATAAACTATAGTCAAATTCATATTGCATGGATTAACACAAGATAGAAAATGAGTGACAGAAGGGTCCCTGCTGTCTAGGAGCTCACTTGAGTGGAGAGGTGTGCAAACTGTGATAATGGGTACACCAGGTGTTTACATACAGTTTTGGGGAACTCAGATAAAGAATCAATCAATGCTGACTAAGCAGATTAAAGATGGCTTTGCAGTGGAATTGACATCTGAGGGCTCTCAAGATGAGTAGCAATCCTGCAGGTGGAAAGGGAGAAAGGCAGTTCTGGGTAGAGGAATCCACAGAGCAAAGCACAGTTCAGGAGCAAGTGTAAGAGCAGAGAGCAGTCTTGCGTAGCAGGGGGACAATGAAAAAGGCTGATACTGTGGGTGGTGGAGGGGTGAGTGTGGAATGGAGCACGGAAGTTGGCTGGGAATATATTGTGAAGGGCAAGGAGTTTGTGCACAGGCATCTTGGTGTCATATCTCTTAGAAAGATAATTCTGAAATCAAAGGAGAAGGTGTCTGGGAAGGGTAAGGAAAGGGAAGAGGTACCTATGGGTGCACATGTGTACAAGGCATTATATTTCCTTGTGTGAAGTGGCATTACAGTAACTTCACTAACTGGGTATAGGTAATTAAAGGTTTACAATAATTAACTTTGCATAGTGCTTAAATGGAATTATTATTGAAGTATAACATATGTAATCCTCTTGAAAGAAAGAAAAACAACAATTTCATTATTTTCTTCTTCTTATGAATGTAATACATGTTAATTTCAAAGTAAGTGCATGATAAAATTGAGTTTTAAAAGATAGCAAAAATGAATCACAATCACACCACCAGAGAAAAACATCATATATGACTCTTCAAACTGGTGTTAATTCTACTACCATAAACCAGACACTGAATAAAATTGAGGATGGATAGAGTAATATGGACAACTGGAGACAAGCTGATTTTAAGCAGAAGTGAGTATAATTGTGATCCTGCTTTGTGAAGTGAAACTTGCCAAATATGACATTTATTGCTACATTATGGTAATTATAAATTTTATAAATTATTTATAATTATCACAAAAATATGCTAAGCAGTACGAGGAGCACAGTTGGAAATAGTTTTATACTTTGCAATACACATTTCTTTAGCAATTCCTTTATGTCTTTGAAGCAAAAATGAAAAGCACAAGTAGTGAAAATGAAGAATCCCTTCAACCTTTAATTACCTTTAAGTGATAACTCAAGTACTGAGGAATGGTAGGCTTGTATCCATTAGTTCAGCAACTCTTTAAGAAATATCAGGTATGACACCAGAGATAGAGCTATCAGTGAACAAAATATAGGTATGGTGTCTGCAACGCATGGAACTCACAATTTTGTAGTTTAGCAAGATATTCTTTCTCCCTCCACTCCTGAATAGAAATTTCACCCATTTTTCAAGGTCTGGCTCCATTTCCACATTTCCATGGTGCACTCTTGCACTGTCCTGACCCCTTCAGGCTTATCCTTTCTCTGACATTCCATAATTCTTAGAAACGCTGCCATTAGGATCATTCAATTTGACTATATGTTACCAGGAACTATACTCTATTAAATGTATAAAAATCTCTTTTACCCCAATAAGATTTAAAAAATCCTTGAAGATAAAGACTATGCTTATTACTTGGGGTTAGGGGCATATTTTTCTGAGCATCTGATAATACTGAGAAATACATTTAGGAAATTTTTGATAAAGCATTTGATTATGACTGAACAGTGTATTTACTGAAAGCCTAATTCTTGATTATACTAAAAGAAATGTCAATAAAATCTTTTCTCAGCACTGTCTTAAGGGTTGAATGACTCACAAAATGGGTGCAGATAAAGGAGACCTGCTGAGAATTTCCTAACGGAATCTCATGATGCACTCTTCATTTCATATGTTATTTTAAAGGTAAATTGTTTAATACTTCCTAAAACTGTTGTACAATTTAAATGTCTCTAACAGCAATTCGATTAGTTTTTCATTGAGAACTGCAGTTAAATTAAGGCTCAGTTACACATAAAGTTTGGATAGGAGAGGAAAAAAATCTGATTGCTTGATGTTGCCATTACCACATTTCCAGCTAATTTAAAGCTGCGACAAACTAGTATACAGTTAGGCTATTAAAACAGAGAAGTCATTCTGTGAATCCAATCTGTACTTTGGCATTTTGCAAAAAGCTTGTTGTTATTTGCAGGTTTCTTTACAAACACTTTAAAAATCAATTTATATGATTTATAGGACGTGCTTTGAACAAGCATCTTGATAAACTACAGAATAATATCCAAATTAAACCTATTGCTTAAAGGAAACCAAGATGTAAGGAGGCTCCAGTAGAAAGATGAAGATTTACATTGATAGAACAGGGACATGTTTGTCCTTTTCTATAAACTTTAAAGCTTGAAATCATTATCAAGAGCTTCTAATTGCTGTATCCATGGTTCTAACCATCTTATTGTCTGCAGAATTGTTTGAGATGAGATTTTTCAGAAACAGGAAAACAGGGACATTTATGCTGCATGTCAGGTAATGGTGAAGGGCATACAGTTTGAGACTGAAAAAAAAACCAGCTATTAAGAAAATGGAACATTCTGATGAAAAAGTTCTTACTCTATATGAAGTAGAATTTGTTAATCAAATGGTGCTAGCATATATCTTTTAATTTTCAGTTTTATAATGGATGTGTGTGTGTGTCTATCTATCTATCTATCTCTTTCTCTCTCTCTCTCTCTCTATATATATATATATATATTTTGAGACGGAGTCTTGCTCTGTGGCCCAGGCTGGAGTGCAGTGGCACAGTCTTGGCTCACTGCAAGCTCCACCTCCTAGGTTCACACCATTTTCCTGCCTCAGCTTCCCAAGTAGCTGGGACTATAGGTGCTCGCCACCATGTCCGGCTAATTTTTTGTATTTTTAGTAGAGATGGAGTTTCACCGTGTTAGCCAGGATGGTCCTGATCTCCTGACCTTGTGATCTGCCCGCCTTGACCTCCCAAAGTGCTGGGTTTACAGGTGTGAGCCACCGTGCCCGGCCTATAATGGATACTTTTTAAAGCATTTATTCCTGCTAAAATACAAGTCTACTAATATTTAACAAATAGAAAGACTTTTCAAAGCTATCTGAGAAGAGAATGTTTCCTTGGTGTTGTCATCATCCATCTGTGACCATCACAAATCCCCTCTTCCCCACTCTCTGGCCATATCTGGCCTAGGCCACATAAAAGAAAACATTTATTAAAACTTTAGAATAAATTAATTGCAAATTCTAATTCTCAAGCCAGGCACAACTGAAAGTAACATGTCAAAACATGCATGGAAGAAAATATTTTCTCTATTCACGGGCAGAGCATGTGATTGGCCACCATTAATAAGATCTAAGCTGTCACAGGCAAGACACAAACCTCAGGCTTCCAAACAACAATAGACCCATTGATACTAACAAATCATCACTTGAAAAGGAGCTCCTAATACTCATACGCACAGAGGCTCTTCCTTGATGACATCTTGTAGTCTCATGTTCAGCTGTTTAACACTCCTCTTTCCTAGCCATGTGGACCAAAAGCAATGCACTTCATTTCTTGAAGACAGTAGCCATATTCCTCTTATTTTTTTTAAATAACAAGATCTGACCTATAATTGTGTGCTTACATTAAGTACATTTCATTTCCAAAGGAGCAACCTATATATGCATGTTCTAAGAAATCAACCATACAATAAGTAACATACCAGTTGTCTCATTGAGCCTCATTTTAAACACAGAAACAGAAGTTTAAATAAACCAAAGAGCAGGGCATGGATAATCCAATTTAGGATATCTCATCAAGTTTAAATCGGCTAATCCAATTTATATGATCTCACCGAGTCTCACGGTTTACAGTGATTTATTTCAAACAAGGGATATGGTAGGAGTAAAGGTAAAGAAAATCCCAATCAAGAACCTCCAAAAGCCATGTTAGTGTTAATGAGAATTAAGTTAATGCCATGAGGAGAGAATACTGTCTACTGGTCTATTTCTGTAGATGAAATCTCTCCTCTTTGCTTCTTAAGTCTTAACTGTTTTTAGAGCATTCATTGGTGACCGAAAGTGTGTACCAGATAAGAATATAAATGAAATAAAGCTGATGCTGGTTGCTATTTATTTGAATTCATATTTTCATAGGCCTTTCTAACTGCCTGATATTTTCCTGGAAGATTAGAGGTAACAAAGCCATGGTTCATGTTCTTTGGACATGAACCATCAATTTTTCTCTATAGGTAGGTTTACAAAACACTAATGATGGTGACTCTAGTTAATATAAATGATTAGTAATGAGGGTACAGATCCACACAGAGACATATCAGAACATTATTAGTTTGAGTTCTGACTGACCTTCAGGTTGATATTGTGCTATAATCGTCACTGTCTGTCCAGCCCCCTTTAGTGCAGCAGCTGCCTGTTCGTGGGATGCACCACGGAGGTCAATGCCATTCACCTGAAAGAAAGGAAGCCAGAGAATTTTGGTATTTCATAAGGCATATTATTCTGATAGAAGAAAAAAGTTTCCCCCAAACCAGGCTGTCTAACATTGTATCACATGCCTCAGAAACTCCTCGTATCCTACTCAGGTGTTTATGGACTTTCATGGTCTTAATCACTTTTAGTTAGGAGAGACATTAAATTTCATCTTGTGGTGTTTGTGCCATGGTCTGACCAGGTTGGAAACATTTTTATCTATCCATGTTCTAGTGTATGCATTTAATATGCCTCTGTGAGCTTCCTAGATTTCTAGGGTAAATAGGGATAAATATGAGCCTTCAAAATTAGAGGGAAAACAGGATGATAGAGACACATGTAATGTAATAGATAAATATATGCTGAAAGATTAAAACATTCAGAAGAGATTCTGGGGACATGGTATAAAATGGGGCCAGCTGGTTGCAAAATCCCTCTCTTTGGTCAGTTGCCTAGCCTTGTCATCCTGAGCCTGGTGAGACAGTCCTAAGCCTTGTTTTAAAATATACTTGACTGTCCTATTTCTCATATACAATTCCAGAATGAATTCTGACAAAAATGAAATAAAGAGTGCTCGGAGTTTAATTAGCTATTGCTAACTCCCATTTTAGGTCCTATACCGAAAGAGAAACAGAACATCTTAAAAGTTCCAAATTCTGTCAGGGTGAAAATCATTCTTAAGTCAAATTTAATAAGAAGCAAATGCTAAAATTTTTCTTGAATCAATTCAGTCTAAGATAATACAATGTAATTAATAAGTGCTCTCCAATGACAGAGTTCTCTGTCTGCCCCAGAAGAGGGACAATGACTGGAGCACAAAGGGAGACAAGATAAACCCCCAATAAGTTTTTCTGATGAACACACAGTAGGTATGGTTTTCTAACCAACAAAAAACTAGCTTTTTGCAGGATAGCAGAATTCTGCTTCCTTTTGTTCATGGGGCAGGTTGACATGGGCTATGAAAGAAGAATAAAAGAACCGATTAGCTTATATACATTCAAAATATATAATTGTATTTTGCTTTTCATCAATCCTATTTGACAATGACGTTGGGTGGTAGATGGGGGTTACTACTTTGTTTCCCCATCAGGTCTGGGACACCTATGCTTAAATTCCACATCCTCATCCTCACATAATAACTTTGTTAACATCTCCTTATTCTCTATGGTAATTTTCCTTGCCTCATCCCTGGCTTTCTAGTGTGGTGAACTCCTTACAGAAAGCATTGATTACATGGTAACATTGGGGAGTCCACTGAGCTAGGCCTGATCTGGTTGTGCCACTCTCTTCTGACTGACTGCCATACTACTTCTCTGAGCCTCAATTTTTCTCCTCTCTAGGAGGGAAGGGACTGTTAGGCTATATGAGTCTAAAGTCCCCTTAAACTATAAAATTCCAGATCTATTCCTTGGTAGATACAGTCATTTCAGAGACTGTCTAGGCTATTGATGAGACAGAAGTATGACTCTGCCGACCAGAAGAGACAGGAAAGGCAATTTGATCCAGGCTACTACCTACAGGAGGCCGAATTCCACAAACTTCACATGCCAAATAATTTATTCTGTCAAACAGTTAAGGTTAACTTTTTATAAAAGAATAATACGTGATCATGGCAAATGCATTCTGTTTCAGAAATGTTTAAAAGGAAGAGGTAAAAGTCCCCTCATCATCTCCATTTCTAGAGGTAACCACTTTAGTGTATACTTTTTTCTTTTATGATCATCTAATATTTCTTTATTCATAATTCTAGTTCCATAGGTTTTCATGTTATGGCAATTTGTACCCGAGTTTAATGACAGAAAAGGCAACAATTTCTAAATTGGTGGTAAACATTTCTTTACAATTTTTTAATGTAACACCATTTATTAAAATAGGCAAACTATAAGATGAAAATGAAGGCAACAGAAAAGCTCAACTTTTCACAACCAACAAAATTAGCACAACCTAAGAAATAATTTAGAAAAAAGTGTTGTTAAAAAGACATAGCATTAAGTATACATATGTAACAAACCTGCACGTTATGCACATGTACCCTAGAAAGTATAATTAAAAAAAAAAAAGAGACATAGCAATTTCCATTCTATTTAATGCACAAAAATCACAGCGGATAGCAGCAAAGGATTGGGCGGGGCAGAGGGACATTGAGGATAATTTGATAATTCACATTGTGATTACTCTGCACATTGATGAAAGATAATTCACACTTCTAAACCCTCAAGACTTCCCTTTTTAGAGAACCAAAATAAATCCAAGACACCTTGCTGACACTTCTACCCCTAAACAAACTGATGACTTTCTTTTCTTGAGACAAAGGCTCGCTCTGTTGCCCAGGTTGGAGTACAGTGGCATAATCTCAGCTCACTGCAGCCTCCGCCTCCCGGGTTCAAGCAATTCTCCTGCCTCAGCCTCCTGAGTAGCTGGGACTACAGGCACTCACCACCACGCCCAATTAATTTTTGTATTTTTAGTAGAGACAGGGTTTCACCATGTTGGCCAGGATGGTCTCAATCTTTTGACCTCATGATCCGCCTGCCTCGGCCTCCCAAAGTACTGGGATTACAGTGTGAACCACTGCTGATGACTCTTTTACACATAAAACTGAAATAGTTGTGGCAGCAAAAGATTTTGATGGCAATGAAAGTTTGTAAACTGTACTTCGATCTCTTTTTCTTATTCCCAAAGTGCAAGACGCAGGGTTCTCAATCTTTCAGTAGTGCATCTCCTGTAAATAATCCTTCATTTTGTTTCGCAAAGGCAGTTTCTGACTTAAGTCTATTCTGGTGTACTGACATATAACAAAACGACACAGGTATTGCAACAAGTGCACCTGCATGAACCAAGACACTGACTTGGCCAGTCTGACAAGGTAAGTTGCAGATCCAGGCAGCTGAGACCTTGAATAGCAAAAAGCTCCATTTTCAGAGTCCTTGAGGGAACGCTCAATTAGATCAACTATGGATGTATGCCCTTCCACATCTGGCTGTTCATAAAAGCTAAACCTACCATTTGAGTGCTCAATTCTAGTGTGAAGTGTTTCACCATGGGAACGAAAGCTGAAGCTTAAAAGATAACACTCTTCAGAACTGTCCTGATCAAGGAAAGAACCATCTGGCACACTTGCTAGCTTCCCTTCTGCCTCCCAACATGTGATTGGTCCCCAGTACCATCCTTGTTTTGTAAGTTTTTTCAGCTCCTCTGTGAGACTTGTCACTACCATGGGACCACTGCTTTGCACTGAGACATAAACTCTTGCAACACCAGGAGCAGAGTTAAGATCAAAATTCAGATGGCAGAGCATACTTTCAGCTACGTGGGCTTCTGTGCCAGTAAGTCCACTGAAGTTCCTTTGGATTTGATTATTCTGCATTGGATGTAACAATGGTGAGAGTGGAGGGACATCATTGTGACCCACTCTCGGGCTCTGCAACATGACTCCCCTAGTGCCAGTCAACAACCCATTCATGGACTGATCCACAAAGATCTCTGGGGCAACAACTAGGTCCTGGACTACCTGACTCTCATCTTCAGGGAAAGAGCGCTCTTCCACTTGAGGAGGAACCACAGAGACTTCCATGGCAGAAGAACTGTCCAGACAATAGCTACGTGATCCTTCCAAAGGACACATCCCCTCATCTAAAGGCACAGTATACTGAATGTAGTCCTGAGGCAGAAGTCCAATAACGACAGGCACATGTTCATCCAGGCGAAGATACAGGTCTCCGTTCTGAGAAGCCGAGCTTTTCAGTGAATTGGCTTGTTCCTGGCATGCGGTCTCAGACTGAAGGTCGTGGAAATCCTTCCGGACGCCATTCAGGGGTGGACTCGGGCTGGAAGAGTGATCTTGACTCTCACCTCCATCTTTATGCACGTCTCCTCAGAGTTTGTGGGCTGAAGAGGCCACGGCATGGGACTGCAGTGATGGCTGCAGAGGCAGGTGGCCTTATCGGCCTCTGAGCTCTCATGTCTTTAAAGATTATCGGTGCTGAGGAGGAGGAGGAGGTGTCCTCATCGGCAGAGCTCCCAGAGGGTGTGCCCACCTTGCCTTTTGGTTTCTGTTTGGCAGAAAGCCACCTTTTTAACGTACCCATCAAGCTTTTGCTTTTTGATCTGTTTTTTTCCCGCCTTTTTCATCTTCCCTGTTGATATCGCAGCTGGCTGTATCTTTACCATAGCAGCTACCAAATAAGGAATTATCTTTCCAAAGTCACTGGCTAGGGATGGTTGTTGTACTACCATGAAATCAGTTTATTTTTTACTTTTATTCAAGTTAAAAGATTTCCAGAAGGTTTTAAGACTCTTTTCCTCATTACGACTAGTTACCTAATCCAAGGGATCAAAATGGAGGGGATTGACTTCTGGCATGATGGAATGAGATGGTCGGCCAGGCGCAGTGGCTCACGCCTGTAATCCTAGCACTTTGGGAGGTCAAGGTGGGCAGATCACTTGAGCCCAGGAGCTCAAGACCCGCTTGGGCAACACAGGAAGAGCCCGTCTCTGAAGGCGGCCGGGCTCCACTTCCTCGCCCAGGACCGGTGCGACGGCTGCGCTGGCCTTTCCTCCAGCAACTCCTCTTCCCGCCTCCTTCCTCCTCCTCCTCCAGCTTGTGTGTACTTTTTAAAGATTCACTATATGTACATGCAAACACATGACTTTATCTCCATTTCTCTTGCTCTCCTTACATACATATTTTAATATATTATTGCCTTTTTTACTTAACTGAATAGGTCATATCATATATAATTTGACAGCTTTTGTTTTGCTTTTCATTGAGCAATGTATCTTGGACATCTTTCATTATCATATCACCTCATATCACTCTACCTTTTTAATGAAAGCCTAGTATTCTATGTTACGGATGTGCCAGCACTTTTCAGTGCGATCCCTCTTGATGTGGTTAAGGTTGTTTCCAGTTTTTCTGCTACTATAAACACTTACAAAAGTGTTTCTGAAGGATAAATTCCCTGGAAAGACTTCTTGGTG